TTCTTCAGCCCTCATGCGTTGACTACAACATGCATGTACATGTCCTCACCCTTACTTGAATGTAGACTGCATGTACATATATTCATCACTTACCTGATAGTCTTGCAGATATTATTTTTTAATTGAGATAGATTAAGAAATCTCTATGGAGCTACAATTTCATTTTGGTTCTTTGCTGTAATACAGATCCCAGGGACCTGTTTTTTTTTTTCCGAACCCCTATCCTCCTAGCCATCCCTCTTACTTACCTGGGAGAAGGAGTAAGAGGCCTGGAAAGAGGACTTGTGGATGCATCATGGTGTCGACAACGACAAGACACTCTGGTTGGCTGGCACCCTCGCCTCATGGAATCTGGGCAGGTGTTAATTCTCAGAAGGCAGCTTATCATCACATCCTGGTAGGGTGATTTATGCAGGTCTACTGTGCCGACAATGAGAGGAACCCACAATCAAAGGCTTCAGCTAGGGCTCTGTGCCTTCCCATGGACAAGGAAAACTAACTGTCCTCCCAATCAGCCTCTTCTTCCGCCCTTCCCCACATACAGACACCAGTCTAACTCCTGGTCTTGGCACAAATAAGAAGGCAAACAGAAATTTGAAGACAGAAGTGAGTGTGCTCCCTTGGTAGAACCCTAAGCAAGGACCAGCCTTCTAAGGGTGGTGCCCTTGTCCTCCAGTGGACTCTGGGCTGTTCCTGCTTAAGACCCAGAGAGGTTGGTCCCTAAGCCTTTCTAAGCACATTGTCCCACACAGGCCAAAGACAAGGGTTTTAGAGTTTTCCTTTTAGTTTCACTATAACCACTACCAGACTGGGGCTAAGAAGGAATGAACGAATACTACTCTCATGTTAATATTAAAACATTAACATTAGGCTTCCACAATGGCTCCTGGTTAAGAGTGCCCACTGCTCTAACAGAAAAGCTGAGAGAGGTTCCAGAACCCATGTTGGGATGCTCACAGCCACTATCTCTGGAGATGCAGAAGACCCAAACGTTCTTTAGATACTGATGCCCTAATACAACATCACCACACATAGACACACACAGATGTACAAACTTAAAACAGTAAATATACATCTGAAAAATGGTAATATGCTTATAACAACTTTAAAATCATATATTTATAAAATTAGAAGGTATCTGATTTACTACAGTAAATACTAACATAACACTAAGATATCACTTATTTCATAAATCTGTTTACTGTCGCCAACAAAATACGTGATTCTATGAACCTACACTTTATTAGCGAGTCAAAAGACCTTTGATTCTCTGAATCAAAAAAAAAATAGAGCAAACTAAGAGAGCTTTTGTGGCAGGTTTGGACGGAGTATGGTGTGATGTTACCCTGGGCTGTCCGGCTTAAATGGACTTTCTAAAAGGTGCTCACCTTCCTGGACCGACCACCCCCTTCCCATCTCCAACATTCCAACTAAAGCAAACTTTAGTTCCTCCTGCCCTTGGCTTCTTCACCCTGTATCCCAAAACCTCAAGAGTCTACAGGTGACTGAGGGTCTTCACACTGCAAACAGCTATATCTTACAAAATTTTCTAATTCACAAACAAAAAAGAGTTCAGTGAACATCGCAGCAAATATATGTATACCCTCTTCTCCCTGGTCTCATTTGCCTATTATTATGCAATTTTACATGTTACTTATAGACACTGGCCTCAATAATTAGGGCTCAATCCAAGAGGAGCAAACTCTTTTCTACAGCTTCTTTTTCTCATTTATCATGTTAACGCTGCTTAAGAAGGCTTTAATAGCTCATCTATGGAAGTCCTTTTAAATGACACTTTATCTTCCAAGTCCAGTTAAATGAGGCTTTATCTTCAAAGATGCCAAAGAACTCTATTGGATGCTAAGTTTCCCTAATGTTTAGAAGCTCACTCCTCATTGTCCTAATGTACCACAAACAATCCCACAGCATCCCATATGTAATTCCAGATGGTCCAGAAACTGCACAGAGCACTATGCTGATTGCGTCTCTCTAACGTGAGTCTGTAAAAGACCTTGCTTACCTGGTACTTAAGAGAGTGGAAACTTCATGTTACAGCTTCTCCTTCTCATCCTTTGCTGCTGGTGGATGCTTCCAGAACTATTTGCAGATAAAGAGGAACCTCTCTTATAAGTCCATCCTTATCTCCCAGCCACCCTTTCACCTGTTCTGTCTGAAAACTGAGTCCCCTCAGTTCTCTAATCCACCTCCTAGATAGCATCTACTCACCGACATGGACAGACCGTAGGAGCACACAAGTGAGCAGGAGCTTCGCTAATGTGCCCCTGGGCTTGTTCCCAAGCTGCAGCAAAGATCTTCACCTGAGGTGTGACCATGCTGCTTTTGAGAAGACTGGAGAATGAAGGGACTTTAGCACCTGGACCAACCCTCTCAATTTACAACGAATAAACCACACTCGGGAAAGAAGACTGAACTATAGGGAACGGGAGTCTCTGGAGCAAGCGCACAAGGAACATCTGGCTCTTATTCTATCCCCTGGATGCCATTCAATTAACAGCCCTGTAAAAAGTGTTTACCAGTAGCTTAAGTTAGAAGGGAACAAATGAAAGAATACATCCGGCCCACTGTGTACAACTACTTCCCCTTTGGCCACTAGAGGATAATACGTTGTTAAAGCAAGCATTTCTAACAACAATTATGAGCTTTGAGGGTGTCCTCACTCCTAAAAACCAAATAAGTAATAAACTAGCAACCAACCGTGAAAGGTGTTCTTAAGACACTGAGGACAAGGTCACAGATCTGTTTGGAGCTATAACTTCTGGCCCATCACCATCTATGTGGGTGTAAGATGCTGCCCCTACAGCCATTTGGGGAAGACAGATGGGTCACAGGGACTCAATAACATCAGGCTTTACTAAACAAAGTTAGGACAATCATCCGTCCCTTTCTATGCCCTGTCTCTACGCGCTATGCCGTCAGCTGGCTCGCTCAACCGCCATCGTGTTTTGCATGTGATGGGCTGTTGCTGTAGAATATTACTTGAAGGTGTGTTGCTTTTGTTTATGCTGCATTGGTTTAACCCCGTGAAGCTGTGTTAATTTGCCTGTCTAAAACACCTGATGGTCCTAATAAAGAGCTGAACGGCCAGGAGCAAGGAAGGAGCAAAAATAGGTGGGTGGGCCTGGCAGGCAGAGAGGATAAACATGCAGGGTTCTTCATTTTGATCAAGGCTCCATGGTGTGCACGGTGCTGGCATTCGAGGAAATTCGTGTTCAGGGACGCTTGCAGTTCTGCTGCAGGTCCAGATTGTTTCAGGATAAAGAGCTGAACAACAGCAACGAGGAAATGAACAATCCAAGGAGATCCGTATCTTCCCGGAATACCGCTGCTAGCTTCCAGCAGGCTGCCCTGCCCAGAGACTCCTTGTGACGGCCTGACTAGAAAGGAGCAGCTAGAAGGGTGTGGATGTCAGATTCAGAGTCTTTACCTGAGCTTCCAGGATGGTAAGGCTGCTGCTTGTGTATTGGAAATGCTTAGCCTGAGGAGGATGGTTGATGTCATCGTTAGAAAGAACAGTGAAAACTGCAGAGAATTCCCTGAGGCCTGGAGCAGACAGGCCTTGAAGCCCCTAGTCCTCAGCCTTCCTTCCACCACAGCTCAGCCAACAGCAGGTCAGGAGAGTTTGGCTAAAGTCTATGGTGAACTTTACCATAACCAAATTGCTGCAGCCCAGCAGAGGTGCTGATGTAGAAATCTATTATAGAACAAACATGTAGGAAACAGTCTTCCCAGAGCTGCCCAGTTCCTTTTACTTTTTACTGAAGAGTTTTGTGTGCAAGCTCAGCTCACAGCTGAGCAGTGGTGACTTCAGTATGTCACAGATGGCGGGAGGGAGACACAGGGATGGTCATGGCAAGGATGGCTGTAACAGCACACTTTTGGCAACATGTTAAATGTCTACAGTCGGAAAGCAGGTAATACATGTGATGCATTCGTGATATTAGCCACGAGCCTGAGTAATCATCTGGGGACAGAATGCCAGAAGCCACATGGTACTGAGAAAATCAAGTGCAGATCCATGCATGCAGAAAGGCTCCTCGGGGTGGGTGTATTTCCAGTAACAACAAAGTGTCCAGAGGCTTTAATTTGGGGCTCTAGGAGTGGGGAGAATGGAAGAGAAGAGGTGGGAAAGAGAATCACAATTCCACACACATCTTAGATGGCTTCACTGCTTACCTATATAACCTCTTTCATATACAAGTATTATAAAATAATTAATGTTAAACTGTAAAATAACCTCCAAGTAGTTTGAAATGTACAGCTTCTTATTTGCCAAGTGTGTTTGTTCACTATGTTGACAGAGACAGAGATACATAAAGAGAACCACACAGACAGAGATTGATTGATTAAGAGGCCCCTTTTCGACTAGAGAGCAGAGCACTTGCTCAAATCCCAGAGAGGTAGGCCATTTTTCCAGGCAACAACACCCATTTTCCTGACTGTCAGCTTCCCTTAGCCCTGTCACTCCGTGTTCAAGGAAGGGTCCACAATTCTCTCCATCATGGTGGCTCTGAACAGGAAGATTCAGGACACAGTACATGGGAACTGAGAGCAAGGCAACCTCACAGAGTCTGACTCCAACCAACTAGCCCAGAAGCCCTGCAGTTCTCTGTATCCCAGCCTGGCCTAAACTTATTATGCAACTGAGGGAAGGATGGAAATCATGGCCATCCTCCTGCCTCAGTTTCCTGAGGGCTAGGATTACTGGTGTGAACATGTTTGCTTTTTGAGAAAATGTATCAATGTTCAGAATGGCCTGGAAATTGCTTATGTAGCTCAAGTCTGACCTCACCCTGTTCCTGAGTTCCAGGATTATAGCCATGTGGAATTATAGAAAGTATTAATGCATATTATATATAACCATATAACAGTGAACCATATTTCTAGAGACAGGAGAAAACATGCATACCTCTAATGGTGACATTAGACTCAACTTTCATCTATTTATCTATTATAAAAATTAAAACCTGGACTTCCCAGGATTTGAGTCCCTCCGGGAAGGTAAGGAAAGTGTCATTTTGAGTTCCAATAAAATAAACAAGACATAATCACAGAGTACTTCTAAATTAATTACTCCCCCCTTTAATTTTATAATCCTATTCCTCTCTTACAGATGGTTTTGGTAACTAAGATAGAAACCCATTTCCTGAATTACCAATGATTGTTTTTCATGGGCACAAGGTCTAAAGAAAACATTAAATTCTGAAGTGTCCATGTTTGGAGAGAACACTCCCCCCAGTGACTTGCAAGACTAAGCATGATATTAACAGCGAGTGTGAGCAGAGACAGCGAGAGAGAGGTCCATCCTCTCCACTAACGGTAGAAAGTGGAGACACCAGATGAACCAACACAGAAAATGACCCTGGAGATTAAAAGATGGTCAGCATGGTCATATCCAGTTGCTGTTTGCTGCAATCATAGGAGGAAGACTCTCAGTGAGCAACTGCGGCTTAATTCTTCACATGAAGACTGTCTTCCATGATGCAGACCTTGTCTTCACCTCGGGGCCTCATGACCACCGTGTTTTGCAAAGCTCCGATCTTAACGATAAGATCTACCAAGCTGCAGAGAGAGAAAAAGAGGTGTTGAAGGCAGAAGAGGTCACCTTTCAGGTCTGAGCAGAGCTTTCATTTATGATCAATACTCAGAAAACCTTAGCAGAGAACAACAGCTCCACACAGAGCCCCCGTATAAAGTCAGAGAAAGGATCGTTCAATAAACATCAAACAAGCCAAGAACTATTTATAAAAACATCAGCTCATATTGGCATCCTTCACAAAAGTGGAAGATCTAAAAAGACAGATATTGAGCGCCATGATTAGTTATCTAATCAGGATGTACACGTGGGATCTGGGCTGGGAACTGGATGACAAGTATATTTACAGTTTTGCACGGTGACCCTTTAGAAAGTGTTAGGAGTGGCAGGTGACCTGAATTAGATCCCTAGATCCTTTGTAAAGGTAGAAGGGTAGAACTAGCTTCACAAAGTTCTCCACAGATGCCACGGCACTTCATGACACACACACATCATATGCACAATAATACAAATTTTCTTTATCGAAAAAGAATTTTGGAATCTGCATAGCATCTAATCCTCTAACAATAAGCATAGAGTAGAAAAACATTTAAACTACAAAGAGGTGTCTTTGCACTGTAGCCACTGGTCTGTGGCATAATTTCAAAGACTACTGTATGACACACATTCATAGTCACTGCATGCACACCAACATCACACACTGGACTGAAAGGGATTTGGGGAGAGCATTGCGGGTGTTTGCATCAGCTGTAGGAGGGGCTTCTCTGGAGAGCTCATTCTGTGCCCATGTTAATCAAGGTGGGCACAGTAGACTGATGTTAGAGGGGCAAATCAGAGACGAAAACAGACTAACTCCCATGAGGCTATGTCATTTGAATACAGTGCCATTTCTAGTACTAAAAGAGAACCAAAATGAACATCTCCAGTCAGCCACATGAAGACACGCCTGCCCTGAGAATCACAAAGCAGATTGGGAAAAGCTTCTTAAATCCTGGAAAGTCACACATGCATAGGTAGGAAAACAGTGTGGGGTCAGGAAGCTGTGATCAGTCAGTATGATATAAGTGACAGAAAAAATCGTGAGGAAATGCCCGGAGTATAGTAATCAGTGAATTGGATGTGTTTGCTTGTTTTGTTGTTTTGGTTGTGTGTGTATGTGTGTGTGTGTGTGTGTGTGTGTGTGTGTGTAGAGAGAGAGAGAGAGAGACACAGAGAAAGAGACAGAGAGAGAGAGGAAAATCACTAAGGCTCACTGATTGCCAGCCTATTGAGTCACAATAAAAATAAAATTAAAAATAAACTTTTAAGGAAAAAGAACTTTATCACTATGATAAATCAAGGGGCTAAATGGGGTGGTGGGGTTTTCCTATAAGGAGTATTTCCTATCCAGTCTAATAAGCAGTTAGTGAAAGAAATTCTGGGCATGAATTCCTCAGACTGAGGCCATTAAGTGTGACCTGGGGCACCCTTTCACCTTTCTGAACCTCTTTTCCAATCTGTAGGATGCGTAGAATAATAGTGTATGATCTGTAACATATTTATTACTGAGAAGAACGTGATCAAAGCAATAACAGGCAAGTGTACTGGGCACTTGCGATGTGCCAGAAAGCACTGAAAACACATCGGCTCACATGATTAACTCGGACACACAAAGGAGAAGTAGGTGTAGCGGACAGTAGCCAGAGGGGTGGGAGGTTAGATATAAAAATGGCCCTGCATAGAGCAAATTGAACCAAATAAAGCAGATTAAATGGCTTTATATCAACGCAGATAACGACATGTCAAAGAGAAGGTACAGGGCATTTTCAAAGGAGAGACTGAAAGAGCTACAGAAATACGATCAATTAAAGAACCTACAAGGCAGATAACTACGATAACTGAGCGACGAGAACTCGGTATGAGCAGTAGAGGCCCTTGCTTGCCAGCGTTCCTTTGCACCCTCTGCTTCGACAGGAATTATCAAGCTCCAAATCCCTCAAACAGCCAGTACTTACCTGAAAACATCTAAAAGAACCTGGCTATTAACTCCCATGATTTTTTATTTTATTCATTAATTTTTTAATACCTTTACATTTATTTTATGTATATCAGAGTTCTTTCTGAATGTGTGTATATGTATACCACATGCATGCCCTTTGGTTATTGCTTCTTTAAAATATGTTTTATTTTTACTTATGCACATATGGGTATGTATATGTATGAATATGTGCATATGAATGTAGAAGTCTGTAGATGCTGGTGTATCCCTATCCATATGGAATGGAATTTCAGGCAGTTGTGGGTGCTGGAAACTGAGCTTGGGTCTGTGCAAAGGCATTACCACAGGGTGTCTCTAGCCCTTTCATCATCTTTAATACAACAGGTACCCAATGAGAGGCACATCAGCTAAAATCAAAGCAATACTTTCAATACCAGCTCCAGAGAGCAAAATCCACCATTCAGCACCTGCTACAAGTTGTCAGAGCCAAGGCGCTCCTTCCGTAACAGTACAGACACAATGGTTGGGAAGTCAGAATGCTGATACATCCCTGGAAGACATGGTAACAAGAGAGGGGCTCCGGAAAATAATATACAATCCAAGATGAACAGTGGGAGTCAAGCAAGGTGTCCCTGCCTGGGAGAAGAAAAGGGGGAAGAAAAAGGAGAAGGAAAAGGAGGAAGAGGCAGAGGAGGAGGAGGAAAAGGAGAAGGGGAAGGAGGAGGAGGAGAAGGGGGAGGAGGAGGAAGAGAAACAAGAGATCTACAAGACTGTAAGCAGAAAAGGAACTGACGCAAGTTTGACTCAGTGATCCTGGCTTCTTTTTCAGATGTGAGTACTCTAAATTAGGGCAAGGCGATACCAGAGAGATTAAAAGGGAAATTGAACACGTCATCAGAAACCATTGTGATGCTCTTTTCTAATTAAGGGTATCATTTTTATCTTTAGTTGAATGCTCCCCTGGTAACTTTGGGAGCTTTGTTTCTGTAGCCCGCAGGAAGGGTCTTCTCAGCATTCATGGCTTAATGCACTCATCCACATAGCATCCCTAATGTGCTAGAATGACATTGGCAAACCATCATTCACTGGAGGAAATGAAGATGTCTAGGTTTGTAAACTAGCTTCTGGAGAATAAACTGAGCCTGGACTCTCGAGGCAGCTGGAGACACAGGTCCTGCTAATGTTCTCTGCCCTTAAGCCATGTGGGATCACAGTAGGTACTAATGCATATTATATGTAACCACATAATAATGGACCATATTTCCAGAGACAGGAGAAAACACACATGCCTCTAATGGTGACTTTAGACTCAACTACCATCTATTTAAGTTGTAAGGGTTATTTAATAAGAAGACACAGTTAATAGGCCAAACAGTGTTGTAATTAATACAGTTTCTGTGTGATTATTAGGGTCTGGGCAGCAGGGAAACAAAGAACAGTCTCCATTTACAAAGGGTGTTGTAAATGCAGTACACTCTGGAGAAATGCATTCTCTGCTCTCAGAGAAAAGAGACTATGACACAATCATGAAAGGGTGGAAGGCTTTGGACTTATGGGAACATTTGAATCTTTAGTGTGACAATGGTCTCCAAGTACAATAACCAAACTGAAAAAACTTTTTCCCCCAGAGACAGGGTCTCCTACAGCCCCCCCCCGGCCTGGAACTCAGTGTGTATCTGACGATGGCCTTGTACTTCTGATCCTCCTGCTTCTACCTCCAGGAAATTCTGTGATTACAGAACTTAGAGTACACCCCCATACCTTCTTTTATGGGGCTCTTGTGTTTCCTGCACGTTACAAAAATACCTTAACAACTATAGTACATGCCCAGACCCCGAGCTGACTATTTAAATAAAGACAAATAGTTGTGTGTGCGGAGCACTGTGAGGAGAAACCCCAGTTCTGGAAGCCCAGGCATGGTTCAGTGTTAAAGAGAGGTGCCTGAGAAAGCAACATAGAAACCCACAGAGAGAGAGAGGTTGTGTTGTTGGGCTTCCTAATAAGCATGGGTATATTTATAATTTAAATAAAGTAGCTCTTTCAGTGAGTTAGAGAGAAACAGAGAGAAGAGAAGACAGGGGGAGATGGGAAGAGATGAGATAAAGGGAGGGGAGAGAGGAGAAGGAGAGGGAAGGACAGAAAAGGAGAGGTACCCAAATGTTTCAACTCACATGAGGCCAGAGGACAGTCTGAGTGAAAAAATTCATTATCTTCTTCCACCACATGGGTCTCTCAGATCAAACTCAGAGCATCAGGCTTGTGACAGGCGCCTTAACCCACTAAGCCATCACACCAGCCCCAGGATTAGCTTGTGTATCTAAAGATAGCCATTCTGGCTGTCTTCCGCACTTGAGGGTCTAGACTTGGACCTTGCTCACAGTGAAACTTGGAGAACTCAGCTGCTGTCAGCAAGCTGTACTTCCCTCTGCCCTAGACTGGGAAGGAATAGTACTGCCTAGTTTATAACTGTTGATGACTAAGATGTCTGTAAAACATTTAGCATAGTGTCTACCTGCCACATAGGTAGAAGTTTGAAAGATCGCTAGCTATCAGCTATGTTGCGGGCAATGTGTGGAAGGACAAGTGAGTGTCCTTCAGGTTTACTTTAAAAAAAATGTATTTTTATCTAGGTTTGCACTGCTCCTATGGTAACCATTCTTTATCAGAAAGTAAAAGAAGCAGCATCCAGTAACTTACATTTAAGGAATAAAACACCAAAAATGAATGTCAGGGCCAACCCAGCAAAGACTCTTACTCCGGTATGGACAGCCGTTCTGATGGTTTCTCCAGAGTCCTTCATTTCATTGGTCCATGTGGAAATTTGCTGGGGGACAGAGAACAGGAGTCAAACTTGAGAAGTCCAGAAACTGGTCATATGCTCAGCAAGTCTTGCGATTCAAGAGGACCACTCTTCTTCATAGTCTCTCAGGATTGCAGGAATGATGAAGCCTCCCTTGATCTGTCCTCTTCTAGACTAGACCCAGTCAGCAGAGGAATGAAA